GCAGAGGAGCAAGCCAAGGTTTGGGGGGAAGAAGACACAGGCTCTGCAGAGCACAGGTTGAGCTAGAGATGAGGCGGGAAGTAGGACAGGGCTGGGAAGGTGTGTTGGGCCAGACCGATTCATTTAGTTCTGGAACCATTAACAACTTTGTCTGCAACTACTGACAGATCCTCTGGTTATCATGGCTCCATTTTTTCCTTGTTAAGGTTTATCCTAGCACTGTGGATGACTATAAAATTGGTATTTTTAGAAAAAAAAAATTAAAATAACTACTGAAGGAATATTCAAGTTTATTTAAAAACCGAAACTTCAAAAGCAGATATAAAAGGCAAAGAATATCCAATAAAAGTATAACTGGTGCTTTTGAAGTAAAGGAAAATGAAGTTCAAAGATAATAATAGAAAAATTATCTGAAGTAAAAACCTAAGACTGCAAACCAAAACAGCTCACCTTGTCTCAGGAAGAAGTGATATATAATTACCAATACCAAGATAGAGAGCAAGAAGATGAAAAAAGGCAGTTTAAAGAGCAGCAGTGTGAGTATTAGTTTAGCTTCAGGGTTTTCCACTACAGCACTCAAAGCTGGAAAGCAGGGGAGCAATGTCTACACAGTTGTGAGGAGGAAAAACATAAACCTGGAATTTTATACCAAGACAATGTGCTCTTTGCCAAGTCATTCTTAAGCACCCAAGATTTTAGAGAACACAACAATCATGAACCCTTCTGCTATGGTTTAAATGTATCCCTCAAATTCACGTGTTGGAAACTTAATCCCCAATGCAACAGTGTTGAGAGGCGGGACCTTTGAGAAGTGTGAGGTTATGTCGGGTCAATGGATTGATGCCATTATCATGGGAGTGGATTCCTGATAAAAGGATAAGTTTGGCTCCCCTCTCTCTCCTCACACATGTGTGATTTGTTGCCCTTCTGCCATGGGATGATGCAGCAAGAAGGCCCTCACGAGATGTGAGCCCCTCAACCTTGGAATTCCCAGCCTCTGAAACTGTAAGAAATAAATTTCTGTTCTTTATAAATTATTCTCTCAGTTTTTTTGTTACAGGAGCACAAAATGGACTAACACACCTTCTTAAAAAATTTGCTCTGAAATGTAGCCAACTAAGAGATGAATCAAAATAGTCAAGATCAGAGGAAAGTAATAAAAATGATTGGTGGTAAGGACTGAATCAATTTAAGTAGAGAACCAAGAATAAGAACCTTTGGGAATTCAGATTACTGAAGAAAATGTAAACAGCACAAGGCTTAACAATTAAAGCAGAAATTTTTAACAAAAATGTGGGGGGCAAGATTGAGCGAAAAAGTGACTGTGTACAAATATGTTTATCTTTCACATTAGGAAAGCAAACACTGCTCTCTAAAATTGGAACACAAATTTTAAAAGTCAAGATAATAACACTCCAACTTTTTTCTTTGTTTTATATGTTTGCACTCAAACTTTCAAATAATCTCCCTTACTAACATGAAAGAGAACTTTCAGGAACTAATTTCTTGTGGTAAAGAAATATATTGACTCAGCAATTCCTTTAGCTCGCTTCAGCATCCCCCAACACCCTCTCTGGTTAAGTGTAAATAAAATTAACTTAAAATGTTTTTTCTAAAAAATGGCATGACGGGAGCTGGCCAGTTAGCTCAGTAGGTTAGAGTCTGGTGCTGATAACACCAAGGTCCAGGATTTGACCCCTGTCTTGACCAGCTGCCAAAAAAAAAAAAAAAAAAAGAGGCATGATCCAATTTTTCTAATGTTATATCCATGTACATGCATAGCTAGATGTGTAGAATGACACATACAAATAGCAATTAATTTGTTATCTTGTGTGGTGAGATTTATCCCCCCCCCTTTTATACTTTAATGTAATAGAGACATATCATTTTCACAAAATCAGCCATTATTCTTAAAATAAAATAAAAACTGAACTTCCTGCACTTTAATTCACAAAATTTATCTCTTTCTACCTTTGGCTGTAGTTCATTGTTAACATCTCGTCAGCCAAAAGAGATATTTGCTCTTAAATGCAAGATTTGCTCTAATTTTCCTTTGTATTTCTCAAAGGAAGCACGGCATAACAGTTAAAAGAAAAACTTCAATAACTACCTCTTACTGAGCCCTTACTACTCAAGCAGTGCCATGCTAAAACTTTTTCCATCCATTCTTTTTTTTTTTTCCTTTTTGTCTTTTTTCGTGACCGGCAACGGATCGCAACCCTCAGTGTCACGCCTGTACCGGACCGGGACCGGCAACGGGATCGCAACCCTCGGTGTTGCGCCTGCACCTCACTCAGCCAGTGAGCGGCCGGTCTGTATGTGGGATCTGAACCCTCGGCGGGAGCGTCGCCGCGCTCCCAAGCAGCGCACTGTAGCACTGCGCCACCGGGCCGGCCCTCCATCCATTCTTTGATTTAATCCTCACAACCCTGAGGCAAGTACTTTCCCTTTTTACCAATAAGGTGAAATAATTTGCCTAAAAGGTCACATAGCTATTATGTGGCAGAGGGAAGATTTGACCTGGGTCAGATTACAAAGGTCAAGCTCTTAACCACGAGTTTTAGAGTAAGAGAGGCCAGTGTTTGAATCCAGATTCTGTTATTAACAGTATGACCTTGGGTAGGTGACAACTTGTCATCTTCAGTTTTTCCATCTTCAAAATGAGCAGATCACCATACTACCTCATTACACTCTTAAAAATAAATAATAGATAAAGCTCTTAGTCCTCCACTTGGCACAGAGAATGCATTCTATTTGGTGATGAGTTAACAAGTTCTTGCAGCACTAAGAATATCAAGAAGAGTACGATATCACAAAGGTAAATAAAAACTTATACCAAAGAAATTTGTCACGCATCATTGAATTTTAGTGGAAAGTGTTTTCATGTTTCCTTTTGATTACAAAACATTCTAATATTCAATTATTATAACATACAAATATAAATAAGAGCTGAAAGAATTGTATAAAAGTTTTTGTAAAATATGACATAATATTAAGTATAATCTGGGTTAACCAGAATAAAGTTCCTGAGCATGCTACTACTTGGCTCCATTTAAAGTTGCATTGAGCAAACTAGTACTATTTGGGGGCAAAAATCATAATTTCAAACCATCAACTTTAAAGTAAAACCATCAAAAATTTTTTTGCTGTTTTCCCCTGAAAATTAGTTTAACTTCTGATTCTACTTTCAAGCACCAATTACTTCAAATAAAAATTTCCAAAGCTTCTCTATTTCCCCCAAAATGAACTTTTTATCTAAGGGAGCTACACAAAATGGGTCAAAATATATAGCACTGATCTTAATAGGTAACCTGGATGAAATAAAAGTTTATTTGTATATTCGTAATAATTAAAGAACAAATGGAACATATGAAAATAAATTGACTTTTGAAAAAAGCAACCTCCATAATTTAAAAAGCCACTTTATAAACCATTATTTTAAATTTTGAACAGCCAATCTGCTCCATTATCTTCCAAGATATACATAATATTATTTCAATTCTAAGTTTTATTATAATGGCATTTCCAGGTATCAGCAGTAATATGCTAATTATATTTAATAAGTAACCAGGTTAAAAAAAATGATGGAGTTTCAATGATCATGGAATAAGTTAGTGACACATAAGAGCACAGAGTGCTTTTGAAACCCCCAACAATAACCTGCACCAAAAGGCATATTTGAACATGCATACCTCAAGTCATCGCTTGGTTCTTTTTCTGGAAGTTCCATGTGCTTGGAGTCTGTTGACTGGTGCTCTTCAGCAACACTGGGCTCCTGACTTATCACAAGGACCTCTGAAGTACATGAGAGCTCCCCTTCATTGGAGACTCCAAAGAGGTCAGGGTCATCTTGAATCACATCAATTAAGAGGACATCATCTTCATATGCCTTAAGAATATCTGGAAACCCCACTTTGATTTCTGAAAAACTCGTAGTCATTTTTCTACCACTAAATTCACAGGAAACTGGTTTGAATGTTTCTTGTTCGTTAGAGCAGGATGGACTTTTCTCTATAGACCCACGATCACAAGAAAAAGTATTACTTTCAACTGTGAAAGAAACAGCTTCCTTATTAGAAACAATATGCCACTAAATTCACAGGAAACTGGTTTGAATGTTTCTTGTTCGTTAGAGCAGGATGGACTTTTCTCTATAGACCCACCATCACAAGAAAAAGTATTACTTTCAACTGTGAAAGAAACAGCTTCCTTATTAGAAACAATATTGCCTGGATCAGAGATGTGATTAGATGGCTTATTATCATTACCTTGCTTGGTAAAGCTTGGAGAAATACTACAGGAATTTTTACTGTAGAATGAGTCTGAACTAGCTTGCACTGGAGTTAAACTATTTTGCATGCTCAAAGACAGAGGTCTTGAAGTTGCCATGGAGACATCTTCTTTACTTCTGTTCTGTCTTACCTTTGCTCCAGATAAATTGTCAAGAAGTTCTAGGGGACTGTAAGCTTCTTTCTCTGATAACTTGGCATTTTCTTTTCCTTTTTCTGTCTTATTCTTAAGTAAAGGGATTTTAAAATTACTGAGCCGTCCTGTGTTTAATATTTTAACCAAGTCTGGATTACAAACAAATGTTTGCTTAGCAATGCCTGCTTTTCGATGAACAGCTTTGCCTGTAGAGTTATTTGCTTCCTGGCCAACCTGGGAAGCCAGTGTGAAATTAAGTTTTGTTAAATTCCCCCTTTCTTTTTTTTTACTTCCTGTTAGACTTTGAGTCACATTAGTTGACTGAGTATCTTCAGTAGTATTAGAAACTACCTCTGACCCACCTCTGCTCAATTCCTCTGACTTTATCTTTTTATTATCATTAATTATAGGTTCTTTTAAAGTAGGTTCTACTGCAGAAACTGAAGACAAACAATTTAAATTAGAATCCAATTTTTCTTTACTTGAAGATTCAGTGTTTGTTTCTGTTAAGGAACTTTGAAACAATAACCTGGATTCAGTCATGTGAGCCTGGTTTGTTTGGTGTTTAAAAAAATCACCTTGCATAAAATGTTCTCTAGACCCAGGAAGAAGGTAATTTGATTGTGGTAAGGAAGCCTTTTTCCAACAATGGGCAGATACTCTAGCACATGAATAATAAGGCCAAGTTCTTTTACCAGTCATTGGTACTGTCCTACGACAGCTTAACTTTGATTCTTCAGCTTCATTTTTCATGTCTTCCCGTGAAGATCTTTTTTCAATATGATGGCAATCACTAGGTGATTTCACTATGGAGCTTTTCATCGATTTAAAATATTCTTCTGGCTCCATGCTTTTACAGCCTAAGGGCTCTGAAGCATTCTTTGTTTCTTCTTTCAAAAGTAGTGTCTCAAGAGTGTTCTGAAACTCGGACTTCATATGATGTCCAGGACTTGCTTTTTCTCCTACTGTTTCTGGCAGACTTAATAAGTGATCCGTTGGAGAGAGTGTATTACAGTTTACTTTTCTCAAAACATTTAAAGGACTTTTTTTAGCTTCTAAAGTCTCTGCTTCTTTACCCTTGGTCCTCATTTGATTTTCTTGCAACACCAACTCAGACTTGTTATATATATTAGAGAAATTCATCTCAACAACTATTTCGTCTCCTTTGTCAGACAACTTCATCCTTTTCCTTGATTTTCTCCCAACATTGCTCTCCTCTATTGAATATTTGTTTTTTTCACTTTGAAGGCAGGAAAGCAAGCCATTATTTTTACTGTGGTGTAAATCACTTTCTTCAAGCAGTAACTTTACTCCCATTAATTTTTCTTCAGTTTGTAAGAGCTGATGAATACTACTTGTGTCACCCTTCTCTGCAAGACTCCGAAGGTTTTCTTTCTTTAACTTCGAGGAATTTTCTGCCACATGCTTACATCCGCCATCAGGTTTATACGCAAGGTTGTTTTCATCATTACAACCCTTGGAATGGGGAAAACAATTGCAATCATGTAATTTTAAAATAGAATTATTTTCTACTTCAGGTGACAAGCTGTTACAAGAAAATTCTGGAGTATTCTTGTACAGTTCATCTTGGAATTCAACCTTAATATTTTTTGTACCCTCATTTTCAGTTATTTTGAGAGGTGGGCTTTCTAAGCTTTTAAATTTTTTCATTCAAATTCTTCTTTTAATATCTTCTACCAAACCTTCCTTACCCAAAGACTGCAAGAAAGCCATACTTTGAAACTCACTGCACTCCACCGTTTGGAAAAATTCTGAACTGGTTAATGATTCCTTTCTTACCAGGTCAATCCCTGGCTGTGGATCATCACTTGAGGCTTCGGTAATTTTTCTTTTTTCCTTGGCTGATCAAAACAACAAAACATACCAGAAAAGATTTTATATTGAGAAGAAAAAAGCAATGCTACTTAAAATAAGAAAAATTGTGAGGCCATCCATTTTCATTTCCCTGAATAGCTGTAGGGAAATATATGTTTTTAAATAAAAGATCTAATTTCTGTTAAGAAACTTTATATAAACCTGCATCAATTCTAAGGCAGCTGAATAACCCTTACCATCATCATCATTTCACACTAGCCAAAATGGGACCACTAGCAGAAATTCTTCCTATAATTCTGACCAGGGGCTCCTAACGGGGCATACACCTTCTAAGAAAATCCATTTTTTCCCCTCTCTCGGTAAACCATATGCATCAGAAATGACCAAACAGATTCAAATTAAAAGACGGAGCAGGATGAGGTGCAAAAACTAGAAGGGTATGACCACTGAGTGCTTTCTTACTGTGTCTTCCCAATTGCAAGGGGAGCTCTGCCTCCAGCGCTTCTTCTATGCCCGGCCTGTCCAACGGGTCTGACCGGCCCACCACCTGGCCCCTAGGCCCCTCCACGTGCCGCCTCGCAGCCTTCCCAGCCTCAGACGCCTCACCCGACTTGTCATTTTCCACCTCTTCTCTCCCAGACGCTCGGGCCACTATTCTCGTCTTTCGCCTGCTCTCCTCACGCCCCCCGGCCTCAAGGCCGCAGCCTCCCGCCTCGTCTGGCCCTTGCGCTGGCCGCCTGCCTCGCTTCCTCAGACCTCTCGCACCGCCTTCACGCCCTGGGGCCGTCGCGGAGATTGGGGCCGGCGGCCCGGGCCACCCGCCCTGCCCGCCGCGCCCACTTGAAGGAGCCCACCGGCCGCACAAACTCTGCTCCAGCCGCCA